AAAAAAAAAAAAAAAAAAAAAAAAGCTTATTCATCACTTGGTCACTTGTTAGCTTTCTGCACTGTAAAATAAGGAACGTGTTAATATTGACAAGGTTAATGCTGCATTAGGTTAATGGAAATGCTAAGGGAAGCCCGAGAGTTACCAGGATCCACTAACTCAGAATTTCAAAAGTCCTTTTCTTAAAGTGGTACCATTAAAAATTACTTCATATTAGTTACAGCTTTGTAAAAACGAGGAAAAGTAATTACATGTTTAACTGTTCATCATATTATGCAGAAATGAGTTTTGTTTCCAAAATAGCATTGCCGTGTTTGTCCTATTTGGGAATAGCTGGAAAAACTGGTGAGCCCCTGGGAATTTGTGATACCAAATTACTTAGTAAAACCAAGAGAAGGCTATGAGGAACCAAAAGAAAGCTAAGAAGGTGACTACACTAGAATTGCAAGTAAAATTTGCTCAATTGCAAATAAAATTTACTGTTGAAAATTGCAAGATAGAGCATAAGGGAAGAGATAACTTTAATCACTCAGAAAATACTTGGTATGTTCTGAAACAAGGATGGCTGCTTTGGAAACACATCAGGCAGAACTTCTGACAGCTGCCTGTGATGCTGGCGAAGTACATTGAAGACAGAAGGAACAAACTGCATTAAAATGTATACAAAATAAGATTAGGACTGTTACTAAATAGGTATGAAAGCTTTGCTTGTGCTTTTGCTTCATTTTTTTGAGCCCTTTCATTCCCTTTGACGATGATAACCCTTTTTGCGAGGCACACCGATGGCCTCACCCAGAACACATTTTCAAATTTGGGCCGTTGTGGAGTACACCCGTGCCATCCAGTTTCATGCCACTGCACCGCAGCTGTGCAGGTCGTGCCCAGCGCTGCTGCAGCCCCCGGGTGTGGGAGCACAGCTGGCTTGCTGGCTGTCCCTGTGCTGGCACCCTAGTAGGGCTGCAGCTCCCCGTGGGCTTCAGCTCAGCTGCGGCAGCGTAGGCAATACCTAAGCCACGTCAAGTCTGCCAGGACAGAATCACTCCGCAGAAATGTTATGAACAAATTTGAACCAGGAGAGTTTATTCAACCAATGCTTTGCGCGATGAGGCTTTGAGCTGGTGCCTGGTGCCTGGAAATACAAAGACTTGCCATTGCAGGGAGCCAGGGGTGCAGGGTCCCCCCCTCCCTGTGCAGGCAGTGGGGAGGAGGGAGTCCTCTGCTAGGCACTCTGGAGTACTCTAATTAGACTCCCATTAGCTTTTCTTCCCTGGCTGCGAAGGAGGCTTGGGATTCTGGCCAGACAATTCAGGCAGCTAAATCATATTTCTAAAAATGGATGAAAATACTTAGAGAAAGGACTTTGTGTGACTGATAGATGACCTTGTTTATCGAGGGGGGTGAAAAAACCCCCAACACAACTGATGGACGTAAAATGAGGAATAGTACAGATACTGTACATCTTGCTTTCCATGTATCAGTAAACCACAGGGAAATGATAGACAAAGACAACACATTTAAATCTTTTAAAGTGAACATTTGTTTCTATGGTGCTAATAAGCATGTGACAGCTAGTGTTATTAGATAATTTTGAGGCAAAGAGGATGGGAACATTTATGTATAATAAGAGTAACAGTTGTGCTTATTTCTACAAGGTATTTTGCTTAATGGATTTTTTTTTAAAAAAATACAATTTTCCATAACTGGGTTTTATGACCTTCATGCAGGGGATAAGCCACCTTCTCACAGATGAGGGCTAGGAAGAAAACACCCATATGAAGAATTTGTTCCATAATTGTCCACAGCCTGTTGGATCTTCTGTGGTATCTTGCCCTGAGCACCATCAGAGATAAAACACCAGACAGTATCCAGATCTGTATGGTAGCTCTTATTTAATCTGTTAAATATTTCCATGATTTTTACCCCTTTTTCACGATGTATTAGCTATGGCTAATATGGGTATTTATGACTATGTCTGTTCTGCTCAGCCACAGGCCTCACTGCAGTTGATTTTGTGTCTGTCCCTGGCTGGATTGCTGCTTGTAATCTTAGAATGTGCTTAAAGACTAATTTGGATTTTCACATAATGTAAAGGTAGCTGTTATTTTTATTTAATGCTGTGTTACACCTGCAGCGTGTAAAACTTTTGTAGAGGACTTTCATGATTCCTTACAGTTTCTAGGGGCAGCACAATGTTTTGGTTCTAAGTTATAAAACCCTTTGTGGCTTTGGGGTCTGGTTAGCTTTGCAGTCACTTCTGTCTAGAGCTTTCATCCAGAAGCTG